CGGGGGTGCTGGGCACAGCTACTGGGGCCTTTGCTCCAAGGCTCTCAAAGCATTTTATAGCTGAGGGGATGGGGGAGGGCTCGGGGGGTGGCTGACCTGAGCTCACTCAGAGTAAATCGTGGCCGTGACCAGACTCCCTGGTATGACTCGGGCTTTCCCTGCAGTTCTGGGCCCGTTACTGGGAGTGAGTGGGGGGAGTTTCAGGGACTAGAAGTGCCCTTGTGGGGTTAAGGGCAGCAGGCCTGGGACAGGCCTGCGAGCGACTGGCAGGAGGCCCCATCGGTTGTCCTCACTGCACCATAGCGTCTCGTTTAATGAGCACATGGGGGATGAAAGAAGAAGCAGGAAAAAGGAGGGGGCTCTGTGACACAGCCGGAGTGGGAGTGTTTAAAGAGTTAATGACTCTTGGTCCTTACTCCCCCCTTCCTGCCCTTGCCTGTCTGATTGTCATCCCTCTCCCCTACGGCTCAGCAAAGCAGGGGGCCCTGGACCAGCTGCCATAGGCAGCACCACCGATTCCACTGTGAGCCAAAGCTGGGCTGGGCTGGGCCGGGCTCTGCCAGCATGCACAAGGCTCAGTTCGGTCCCCAGAACCCCACGCCTAGACGCCCCCCCCCCATCACTGGGCACTGTGGAGCCCTCTGGGTGGCAGCGAGGGGTGCAGCATGCACATCACCCTCCCTACAGCACCACAGCCCCAGGCCATTTTCTCTGGGGTCCAGTGGCATTGGTCCAACGAGCTGCACTGCTGTGAGCAAGAGGAGAGGCTGCCGGGGCAGAGGCCCCATCCCCCGAGGAAGAGCTGCACGGCCTCTCTGGGGTGACGGCCCACCATGGAACAGACAGCCTGGGCCGGGTGCAAGGCAGTGCCTGAGGGTAAGAGCTCTGCAGATCTGCCACTCCGGGAGGAATCATAGAATATCAGGGTTGGAAGGGACCTCAGGAGGTCATCTAGTCCAACCCCCTGCTCAACGCAGGACCGATCCCCAGATAGATTTTTACCCCAGTTCCCTAAATGGCTCCCTCAAGGATTGAACTCACAATCCTGGGTTTAGCAGGCCAATGCTCAAACCACTGAGCTATCCCTCCGCCCTGCAACACAGCTGGTTGCTATCGTCCCTTCACTCAGGTCCTGCTGGCCTCTCTCTGCCCCAGCCAGGGCCGGCTCTAACTTTTTTGCCACCCCAAGCAGCAAAAAAAAGCGCCACCCCGCCATAACACCCCCCTACCGAGTGCCGCGCCGCCGAAACTCCCCCCCGCCGAGTGC